AGCATTATTAGCCAAGAACAAGTTATTCAAACTCCGGGGGTACATGGATGTTGGCCATAGTGCAAATATGATTATATACGGCTTGCGTTCTGAACATCTTGCTCCAATATTTGATACGATGGAGACTGGAATATTCGACAGAAGTGACATTTGGCTGTATCGAAGGCTTCTAAGATGACGTATGTTTTGTTTTCCGGGGAACAGGCGATTGCCGTTTTGAAAGTTGGTGATGAGCGCACAGCCTGATTACAGACGGCAACCAGAAAGCCTTGGGACATGATGTAATGTTCCCGTTATACGCATTGAAAGGATTGAAATGTGAGCATACATTTATTCGACCTATGTTGCATGCTTGTTCGGCCCAATGTGTCGTCGTCGATGCAATGAGAAAAGAAGAAGAAGAAGAAGAAGAAATTTACAGTTATTTTACGTGCCACTTACCGATCAACTCATCTACTTCGTTTATACACTTTTGCTGCCATCATTCCAGGTACTGATGTTCGACCCTTATCACTGAAATGCCTTGATTTAATTGTAGGGAGTAAAATCATCATCCTAAACAATCATGAATAGTTGCAATTAATATTTGCATTTACGACGGAAAATTTTCGCTTACAAGTCATGTATTTCACATGAAGTAGATCAATAAGTTATTAATATTAATATTTTTAATGTTCGACTGAAACCCTGCTATTATGTTAATATGAAACACAACAATACGTTATCGACACAATATAGTGTTAACCTATGGCCTAAAATCAGAAGTGGAATTCGTACAAATCGTATGAAAACACTACAAACAACAGCACCAACAAAAACCAAAATAGGCAATAGTTGTACCGCGAGCATGCTACGGCGTGAGAGCTATATACGTCTCCATAAAACTGTTAACATCAGCATTATTTGATGTCTTCATCCCGTAATGGATAATTAATCTACAGATCCAACTCCGGGCGCAGGATTGAAAATCTCAAACTATGTTTAAAAATCAAAGCAAATCAAAAAGATTAATCGTTTATTAGTAATATAATTAACGAAACTGTTTACCGGTGGGTAGCAAGTAATGCAAGTGAAATACGCCCACAAATAGCAATGCGGTCCTCCTCTACAGTGAGCCTTGAATAATTATGAGTGACATAATCATGTAAGAATTTGCAGCTTCCACATTCATTTTTTAACCTGAATACACGCCTCCAGATTAGCTCCATCGTTCACCGAAACAACCTGACCAGTTTTGTTTGTTCCTTTCTGTTGTTAGTATGATTAGATGTGTATCGCTTGTTTGAAATCCTCTGTTTACTGCAGAAGGTCAGAAATTGTTTAAGTTGCTATGCCCTTCCGTTCAGACAAGCAATCCTGGGAAGAGGACTACCCGAGATCTGAGCCTCATTTCTGGACAATGTTGTAATCATTGTCGTCTGTGGTATTAAGTCAAGGTCAGAATATCCAGATTAATGAAGTCTCATGCTTTGGCTTCTCAGCATGATTTCTTTTTCTACATGTGCTGACTTACATGTCACGTGGATCGAAGTGAATTTCGGCCACAAAGCTCACCCATCAGACTGCATCGTCAAATATTCGTGTGACTCCTATGATTACAATCATAGCTCAGTGTTATCCGTATTATTCACAAGCCAGTGACGTGTTGCACTCTTGTCGTCTAGTTGCAATGAGGTAGTGTAGGGGATGAATTCCTTGGTGAATGAAACTGGCAGTTACATATGAAGGTTTTACGAAATTGGTTGCGAATCAAGCACCACCCAAAGCATGAAAACGGCCCATTGCGTCACAGTGCCTCTAGAGAGGCTTCGGAATGCATACGCCTTTGTGACCTCGGGTTACTGTGCCAACGGTTGCGATGGACTTTTAATGGTGCTTCCCATGACGAAATTCTTGAAATTCGGGCAAACGCATCAGATGGGTTTTCGATCTTTATCGGAGAAGTACAATTTATTAGTTGGACGTTTTTTGATATAATTAGTTAATTAATTATTCAGGCAATCCGTCTAAATGACAAAATGATTTCTCTGGATCTTGCCAATGATCGAGGTCAATTGGAGCGTTCAGGAAACTTTTCAAATGACATGTACACATTTGTAGCGGTGTAGCGGTGTCTAAGCTAGTTGGTTTGTCAGAAGATGAAAGTTATAAGACAGCAGTTAAAACTGTGATTATGTCTGTACACTCAGATGCGCTGTTGATGGAATTGGAGGGGAAAACAAGAAGGTAATGAGGACAAATAACCAATAGCTCTTTATAGGTTCACGAGTGCAGAATAAATTTTGCTGTACGACGCTAATGACCGAAGAGATTATGCAAATGGACATGTCGCATGTGGTGACATCAGTTGATCAATTAGTTTCGATGAATATTTGTTCTTTTGAGTTGTTGAAGCAGCAACATCAGACGGCGTCTCCAACATTCTCAATTTTGTGTTATCGTTTGAGCTGTGGCAAAAGATGACCTGATCCTGGAGCGGAATCCGCCGAAGCATTTACCCCAGCCAGTCATTTTTAACCTTCTCCAGGGTCTTCGGTC